ATTCATATATATATATATATGTGACTATTTTTTTCAGTGGAACATTCTCTTCTATCATAAAACTGAAGCACTTTAGGTCACAACACACTCTGATCAAATTTGTCCGTGGCAGTCACAGTCTTCTTTCCCAAAACTTTACCTCATAGTTGTTACTTTATACTTGCTATGGTGTTAAATATTAATTTCACTTCACAAACAATATAGTATACTGTATAGGATTTGAAGTCCTCACAGCTGTGGTTATGAAGAGTAACAACTTCTGGCATACAACGCCATGTATAAAGTCAATTGATGTTTCAGAGAAATATATCGCTTCCATTTTCAGGGTTGAATAAGCAGATCTGGATTCTTTGCAGGGCCATGCACACTGCTCTTATCAGGACACAAACTATGCCCTCTTCTGGGTGTCACCCTGATGTCCCGATGTTCCTCCACTTTCTCTGCTCCCCACCCCTTGCCTCATGCCTGCGACTGACTTACTTTATATCTCTCCCTTACACATTGGGTGCCTACCCAATACATCTGTACAAGTTCCCCTGTCTTTTTCCTAGGCCAGCAAAATCTCCCTTTTTCAGGGCCATCCTAAACTCCTGTTCTTGTTTCCTATTGGTTCACTCGGTGATCATGTGAGAGCCAAGTGGTTTCATTCTGTCCCACGGATGAACCAATGGGAACTAAGGTCCACTCTTCCATTTCGTTCCTCCTTCCTATATACTCTGAAATTTCTAACCAGTCAATTACTTGGCTTGTCACCTGCTTTCATGCTGGTATTTTTTCGACTTATTGGACCCTGAAGATGAAGCGATACGTTTCTCCAAAATATCAGTTGACTTTCAACGTACTGCACGGTGTTATATGCCATAAGCTTGTACTCTTAAATACAGTGTACTCTTCTAAGTCCAACATAATGTGACTCTTCTCTCTTCTATTTACATTTGAAGTATCATGAAGAGGTCTGCCAATATCTGCTTCTCACTTGAAATACCCATGCACCTTGAAAACTTTTTTCTTGACAGGGTGCCTACTTTGCTGGCCTTTCACTTCAAAAATTAGAATAATATAACCGCAACTTTACCAGCCACTGCAAATTAATATCCTACTTTATGATGTACAGTACATAGCATGTGTACAGATGTTTTCTCCCACTAAATCTAAGACTGACTGATACTGCTTCTTATGGACAGAACATGTAACAGTCCTTGCTACTGTGCATCAAAACCAACCTTCTGACTTATATGCCAGTTACAGTAGCATGTGTTACATTCTGACTGGACATATTGTGAAATGATATTGTTGCACATTCTCTAGATTCAAGAGTTAGCCTGGGGTCGAAATATTTGCATGTATCTCAAACTGTATGTCATTATATTTAAATTTAGGTTCCAGGTATCTTCAGAAAATGCTGTGTAATGTTTGGAATAGGCCTTATGTGCACCAGGAGACCCTATCTATACTCACTGCCTTTCAGAAAACATAAAATAAATTGTTTTAGACCCATCAGCTGTAAAGTAGCAGTATGAACTTTTAAACTTCAAATAAAATAAAACAAATTTATGTGTTCTGCAGCTGTATACAGTATCATAAATAGTGAAGGAGTTTTACAAGGGATGTATGTCAAAATATTTTTGGTTCATTTTACATTTGTAATTTTCAAGACTGGTTTTTCATGTCCACAGGTTACACAAACAAGATTACCTTACAAATTCCTATAGTATTCTTTTGTTCTCTCTTGTTAAACTGGACACATGTATCTTAGGCATCAGGTCCAAAAGGATTAGACATGAATTTTAATAGACCTTTTTAACATATTTCTTCAAACTTGTTCATAATTGATTGTGATTAATTTTGACTGCTGATGGATTTATGTTATGAAATATTCCTAAAACTTTGACTGATAATATTTCCATTAATTACAATGATTTTACAACTTCTTTATTACAACTGTCACAACACAACTAATATCAAGATCAGAGCCAAAACTAGGCTAGTTGTGTTGTGACAGTTGTAATAAAGAAGTTGTATATTATAACACAACAGGATGCATGAAATGAAAATTACAATGATTTTAAGTATTTCATTATCTTTACTCCTTTTAATTTTAGTGTACCTTATGTTCTATTAAGCATTCTGTCGAAGTCACATTAATTTTTATGTAAAAGTTTCATAAATGTAATAGTACCATAATCTTTGGATATCCTGTTTCTGTGTACTTCTCTGTTTAGTTTTCATGTGGTTACTCATGTCTCTTAGGTGTCTCTGGAAATGTTTCCACGACTGCTGTTGGAGGAATAATGGGTGCTCCTTCCACTGCAGTTGCCACTGGTGAAACAATAGGTTTCATTACAAGCCTTCCCATGCTACCTGCACCTCCCACGGGACATACTACACAGTTACAGTTTGTCCCACAAGCGCAGCTGCAGCCAGCGCAGTACGTAATGCAGACGGCTGCAGGGTTGGTACCTCAGGGGCTTGTGCCTCACCAGTCAACTCAGCTGCAACATAGGCTCATGCCTCAACTGCCTGCAACAGTGCCAGCCATTCTCACCACACACTATGACCTGGACAGTGAGTTCTCATGTACCTCTTAAAGTAAGACAAATCTGTGTTATATCAGGATTCGTTTGGGTGTTTTTAAATGAAGTTGATTTAATCTGATTTTATGTTTCTGTATGACAACAATAAAAATGGATGATCATTTGGATTATTATTGTTTCCATGTTGGATGCTTTTAACTGTATAACTTTACCGGGCACTGGAAGGATCATGTTTGCATGTAACATGTAAAGCTCAAGCAAGTTTGTTTGTTTGTTTGAGAATCTCCACTTAAGAAATTAATACCGTATGGTCAAACTAGACTTCTATTTGTTTCCTGGCATAAGTATTTTGTGGGTAAATCTACCATCTTCTCAGCTGTTATCTAAAAACCTGAAATAAAAAAAACAAAACCATAGTTATACTTGTTATGTATGGATATGAAGCTTAGTCTCTCATCCTGTGGGAAAATCATAAGAGAGTCTTTGAGAACAAAGTGCTGAGGAGAATACTGGACCAGAACTGGAGGAGAATGGATCAGATTACATAATGAGTTTTGCAAGTATTACGGTTCACCAGATACCAGAATGTCAGATCGAGGGGAATGAGATGGAACATGACATTCAGGTCAGTTGGGGAAATGAGGAATGCATACAGAATATTTTAATTAAAAAACTTAAAGGGAAGGGACCACTTGAGAGACCCAGGTTTAAGTTTAAGGATAATACTAAAATACATNACTTTTCTCGGGCCATTATCTCCGTAACCGTTCAACTTTGGACATAGGTGTTTTGGGTTATATCGGCATACTTTAACATAAGGAACACCCTCCCGAAGTTTGGCACATTCCTCCTGGGACACCCTGTATATGTGGATTAAACAGACTCCCGGTGGGTCTGCATAAAAGCAGGGCATTTCTTGACAAGGTAAGTGACTATCTCCTTTTCAAGAAAGTCCCTCCTCTGTGGACTTAGTCATACATAATACAAAAGGACAAATTTAAATGACAGTTTATGGTACCCAGGACAGCTACATGTTGTACTGAATTCCCTGCTTTAGTGGGTTGTCATTGATTATATATTCAGAATACATATTTGAATGGGTAAATATTTTGTGTCATGTCTGATTCATTGAAGAATTGAAATTTTATATCAGCAGAACTACAGGTTTGTTAAAGATTTTTGTTATAGTTTTGCTCGGTGGTTTCACCTAACCAGACTGATTATTTTGTATTTTTGTACCCACTGTTGCTTCTCAAGACATCCATAATGCTTGACATCCTAGATGAGTTCTTGGTTATTTCTAAACATGGCTGTGCTGGGGAATAAAACCCACATCATGTATTTTGGTGGAACTCTAAGCAGCTAGTAAACATATGTATGGCTGAACAATTCTGGTATATTTGCTGACTTTTCATTAATTGTCCCGAATACTGTAAGACTTGCAGGAGAAGTATATTCAGCATGAAACATTGTTTCACTTTTATGTCAAACATATATTCAAAACTTTTTCACTCTGATAAATGTTTAGCATATTACATGGCTAGTTAATACTTGAGACCACGCCGCAGTGCATGGTGGTGTTCTCGTGAAATGGCTATAATTGTTATGTGACTAAAATAAAATTGGAATATATTTACAGATTTAATAAAACTTACCAATATAAAATTTCATGAAAATATGCTCAGGAACTCTCAAGGTGTTACATTTAAATAGACAGACATAGCAGAGCTATTATGCCCATTTTTGTTATTTTAAGTTGCAGCCAGACTGAAACAGTATCTGAATTAAACACTTCCAGCAAAATAAGTGAATCCATGTACAGTATGCTACATGGAACTTAGATTTATGACAGCTGTGCTAACAATTTACATTCTGATTCATGCACACATTCTTAGTACAGATATCCTAGGATCCTGATACCAGAATTGGTCTTGAAATATCTGGTCATTATAAGTATATGTTAAATTCATTTCATAGGTTTGTTATGATAAGCTTGAAGGACAATCGAGCACTTTACTTGGTTACTAAATATGCATTTTTGCCATAAATGTTTGATTAAATGCTGGAGTTAATATGGTAGGCTTAGTTCGAAATATAGCTAGGTAATAACATAGAAATTATAATTATTGATCAATATTCTCAAACAGTAGCTAGATACGTATGNCTGCCCACAGTCAAGCAAGCGTGACAACGCAAACGTCATTGCTTAGTTCGAAATATAGCTAGGTAATAACATAGAAATTGTAATTATTGATCAATATTCTCAAACAGTAGCTAGATACGTATACAATATTTGTGAATACACACAATAAGGAGAATGCTAGTGGCAGATGTCACATGGTACCAGTCAGATAGGACAGAAAAATATTAATTTAATCAGAGAGGATTGTTTTTATTAAAATACATTATTAATGTCTACAATTTTTGTAACTACTGCTCACCTGTCTTTTCCAACAGCAAGGAATAATTTCCTAAATGGAAATATCCCAGGCATGTTTACAACATTTCCAGCTGATCAGTTACAACAGACGGGTGCTGCAGAGAACAAGGTGGACATGTTGGATGTCCCAGGCAAGGGTCGTTGCTATGTCTACATAGCCAGGTATACCTGCATAATCTCATATATTACAGGAATTAAAAACATTTATAATTTACACAGTTATAAAGTTCACCCAAAATTCTGTTAACAAAGTATTACTATATGTATGACATACAACAAAAAATTGAGACATTCACTATCTCAGATTAATTGCAATGTAAAAAGGTATGGCTGAGATTAACAGGTTTTGATATATGACTGCAAGTTCAGGCATGTTTGCAGCTCACTCCATTGCTGCAATTGCTCATGGTAAGTGTTTAAAGTCAGAATGCAATTGTCTTCTGTTAATTTAATGATATTCAAGAATACAGGACAATATGCAGTTGTACGAAATCTTGCTAGAAATTTGGAAGGAGAGATGGTATCTGAAATTTTAATATATTAATGTTAGTATATGATACCATTGAATTATATGTGGTAAACATAAAATACAGTGTCATTCAAAATGAAGTAAACACTTTCAGATACTTTTGATTACACTTAATTATAGTGCCATCACTAATCTCCATACTTTACAAATTGCTACAAAGCCTTTACAGTCTGCTGTCACAAGTCGTTTCCCTGTAACAGATCTTAACAATTGAGATTCTTCAGCTTCTGTTCTCAACTGCACCGACTAAGTCTTCTCTTCACAGTGTCCCTTACAACTCACTAACTTCTTGGCATGGAACACAAAGAAAATGTTGTTTATTTTTGTACTCCAACCATTTCTGTGAGAATACATTTGGTTGCAAAGGTGTTACTCAGTCATGGCTGGTATACTTGCTTATTAAGCATCTGTTGCCTAGCAGCATATGTTGTTTTGTTGTCTGTTTTAGGGTCGTTACTCAGTAATGGGCCTACACACTACAGTATTTACATCCTTTGCTGAAAATATGATTGTAGGAAATATTTATCTTAACATACTGACTTACTGGCTTATACCTTAGCTTCATGAAGATTCTATTGATTTCATTTTCTACCAAGGTAACACTTCTCCTTATGTCCATGCTTCCACATTGATGGATTGGACTGGAACCAAAGAAGTTGAAATATGGTGCTCCTGACCCACCAGGTTGCAAGATCTGACACCATCAACTTTTTCTTTTAGATTTATGTGAAGAATGTTGTGTCTGTACCAGCACTCTCACTGGATCTAAAGCATAAGATCACTTAAGCAGTTTTACCAGTTACCAGAATCATACTTATAAAGGTCTGGGAAGAACTGGAATAGTATTGGATTTATGCCTGCCATTTGAATTGTGGTCCTCATATTAAGTGTGTGAGGAACTTCAAGAGCTTTTCTATCCATCTTCAAATGTCACATGAATGTTATATGGGAAGTTTAATTTCTGTTTTTTAAAGTTTCTCTTTTGTTTTGAATTACACTGTATATCAGTTGGTAAAAATAGCTTTTCGAGATGCCACAATGAGCTCAGCAGTAAAGTAAAAAGTAAGTAAAGGTACCCCCAGGAATATTCCTGGTACTCATTTCTGTTAGAGGCTGAGTCGACCCCAGGGCCATAATGCGGCTGGAAAGATTAGGTAAATTGAAAAAATCCAATGACCTCATCGGGACTTGAACCCATGACCTTCCAGCTTGTAGCATAGTGCCTCAACCAACTACGCTACGCAGTGCTTTTAGTTTTTTTATCATTTTAGTGAAGAATACAGTAAATGCACCATTAAAAGTGATGAGTTTCCTGATTCATTTTCAGTTAGTAGAAATGATGAACTGGTAGCAAACGTGCAAGTTTTAGTGCAAAATGGCAATGTAATGGATGAAGAGAATTTCTTATGGTTCATGTCATGCCATTGTTGCTGAAGATCTGAGAATGAAGCCTTTACAGACGAGATTATTTTGTGACTGCTGCCACTGGAGCAAAAAGGAAACTGCTTTTCTGTGACTGCTGACTTGCTTGAATTTGCTGAAGCTAATGACAGTTTCTTAATAATATCATAATGCTTGTCAGAAGTTGATCCAAAATTAATAACCGTGAAATTATGCACCAGTCTTTATAATGCGAATCTCCTTCCTTGCTTTGACTGATCAAAGCATGCCAAGTATTCAGTAAAACTACACCGATGCAGATTGTTTACTTCATTTATGAGAGTGTTATGTAATATGCATATGCTCTGCAAAATCATACTATCAACCACCACTTTTATTTATAAGTTCTGAGATGTGTGCATTATAAATATCAGGAAAAGTGTGAATCTGACAAGTGGCAAATTCACTATTACTCTATCAAGCTTATAGGAATATTAAGATAAAATTGTATTCATAAATCTCCTTTTTTAACATGATACCGAGAATTAGTTCACATATTTCATATATTAGAAGTAAACATGGATGAATATCAGTATGTAGGAATATTCTCCTTGTGACTCACTGTAGTTTGCAGCGCATAGTTCACATAATATCACAGTATATTTGCTTGTTTCATTCTTCACTGATAGAGCCAGTAATAGAAAATTGTGTTATATTCCTTTTACTATTTATAACTATGTGATCATATTAGAGGAATGAATCAAATAGATGAGAATCCTGAATGACCGAAGATATTAAGCTCTATAAAATATTTTTCAGAAACAACTAACTGCATGCTCTTGAAGTCCTATATTTGTAGTCAGGTTACACCACCCTTAAAATTTATTTTTCCAGATCTTTTCAAACTTAATATGTTCATTTCATTGCAGTCTCTCCAAGATCTGAAGGTTCCCATAGGTTTCAAAAAATGAAGTACTGTATGTGGAAATTGTCTTCCTTTAACAAATATGATTCTGGATACTGAATATAATTTTCATGTTCACACATATCTCATTTACTCAGCTTTTTCCCAGCTTTCCTTTTTGTATGTTTATATTCAGAATAAGTCTTCAGTGTTTGCTATGAAGTGTAAAATTGGAATTTTATAATGTTAAATGAAGTAGATAATTTGTATGCATAGTCATGAAAGTTTTCAAGTGGGCAGGTAACTTAATTAACTGATCTTTAGAATATAAAATTCAAATTAAAAAAAGCATGAAAATAAGGTGATTTTTCTGCCTCTGTGTAATTTGATTGAGCGGCTGTTTGCTGTACTTATAACAGTATTTGGAGGCCACATTTGAACACTGCTACTATGGTGTGTAGGAAGGGGACAGACCAGTAAAAAATAGTGTAACTAGTTCATGTACTCTGGTTTATGAAAGCAGCAGCTTAGGTTATAATGAATCGCAATTTTCCTGGCAAGTAAATTTCTACTGCAACTTGCATGCATGCTTAATAGCAAAATCAAATGGAGTCTCTAATATGAACCAGTTGACTAGGTTGGCCACTATGTCTGTCATGACTGTTAGGATGTCGTTGATCAAGTTTTCTTGAACTTGTTCTTTCATAGCAAAATGCACTGTTGGATACATGCCCACAAAAAGGAAAAACAAGTTTTGCTTAATAGCAAAATCAAATGGAGTCTCTAATATGAACCAGTTGACTAGGTTGGCCACTATGTCTGTCATGACTGTTAGGATGTCGTTGATCAAGTTTTCTTGAACTTGTTCTTTCATAGCAAAATGCACTGTTGGATACATGCCCACAAAAAGGAAAAACAAGTTTATTCAAATCAGGAGAACTTTGTGGTCAGCCAGTTTTATCCTCATGGTCAATCCATATATCCAGAAAAATGTTGTTCAATCACTAACATACTTGGCATAGAAAGAGGGAAGGAGTGCCATTGTTCTAAAACCACATGCTCTTGAACATTCAAGGAAACATCCTCCAGTAAAATGGGATATAATAATTTGAGGAAGTCAGCATATTGGATTCCACAAACTTGTTCCACTATTCCAAATAGTTAAGTTAGGCAGGCATCTATAATTATAGACCAAATGTTGATGCCACAGTTTTGTTGAAATGAAGGGTGTCATATGACGATTCTCCAGTTCATATTTATTTAGCCTGTGGGAACTCCATACTCCACTCCTTGTGAATGTTGCCTTGAGAGTCCATTGCATGGCACAAAAGGTCAGGTTCATCTACAGTTTTATGTAGAAGTCATTGACAGAGGTGGAGACAAAACATATTGTCCTTTGACTGTACCCCTTGTACATGTTACAATGAAAACGATAACAACTACTCCTCATGCAGTGTATACCAACCTTCACTCTGAAAGAACCCCATTTCTTATGCAACTGAACAAGTGTTAGTGGATTCATTCTGCACAGTGTGCTATAGCAAACATGTGCTGTTGACATGAATTCGGCATCTTTGCTTTTGATTAAATGTAAGTAATTGTAATTAAAATTAATAAATAAATATGTTAAATGTAAATAATCAAATGTACATATCTATAGATAATTATTTAATTTTCCCCCCAAAATGGCGAAATGTCCGAAAATGACGAAGATGGTGAATCAATGAGCAACAATTTCTTTAGATTTATGCTCAAAGTTATCACCCCAGTGACCTCCTAAAGTTTGGCCATAGGACTTTGAAAGACCTTGTGCATATGTGCAGGTCTATGTATAAAAACAATTGAAGAAAAAGATTAGAAGTATTTACCAGTCAGGACAGTAGAATGGAATTCTGTGTTTTCCAATTATTTATTTTCTGAGTGAATAGAAGCACCTAAGGAGGTATATACACACTCATTCAAAAGCTGAAATTATCTTGATTTCAGTTTTTTTAACAAGAATTCTGAAAACTATGAGATTATGCTGTTATGGATTATATTAGTAACTTATCGTTGAGTGTTAACATGAATCTGTTGTGCTGCATTGCATTAAGTATAGATCTGTGGTAGGTCACAAAGTTTATATTGTTTTCCTTTTCAGCTTATTATTTATTTTACGTAAATACTGATAAAATTTTGAAGTGGATAGTAAAGCATGGTTAGTATCTCTATGTATCATTGAATGTGAAATAGTTTATATAGATTTGGAAGGTGTTTCTTTCTAAAATAGGTTTACAGTTGTCCATCTGGACCAGTCCATTAAGATTATGTGCAATAGCTACAATCTGTAACCAGGCAAATTCAAATGGCCACTTGCTCCAACCATGGTACTTAAGACTGCTTGTACTCCCATGTCCATGAAGATCACGTAACACATTTAAGTGCTCTCCATACATTTCTCCTGTTAATTACTATCAGTAACAGAATAGTATGGTCTATTGTGTTGTATGTTTAGTATCAGTAGTCACCTTGATAGTACTACTGAATATACAAGAATGTACAAAGTATACCTTCAAACTCAACTCTGAAATTCCTTTCTCCGTCTTCACAACCTGTAGAGGCTGTGGTTAGGTGAGTTTTAACCTGTCCATCAAGATTTTTAAGAACAGCTCTGGAATGATTGTCGTTATTTATTTGTGCATAAAATTGCTTAATTAGTGCAGTATGAAGAATCAATTACAGACATACTATTTCCACACATCTCCTTAATTGGTGAGCCAGTGCTCAGAAGTTGTTTTGGAATAGCAACATGTTATTGCTTAAATATGCATGAGCTAAAGCATTGTTTATTGAAACAAATTTCTATTTAATCTCTCAACTAAATCCATTCTGAGTTATATCATTTTTCTTAAGCAAGGAATTTCTTTCTCTAGAAATCCCATGATATCTAGATATCCCATGACAAATATAATTTCTGTTCTAAAACGTTTAATTTTCCATTGGTAGCAACATACTGTTCTCTAGTTAGTAATAATTTGTAGCAGTAACTCATGTTAATCCACTATTACCTTTCAGATGACAGAAGTAAAAATGGGGCATTATGCATACTCATGTGTTTAAATGGCCTGAAGATAGACGAAATTAGTTTTGATTAATGATCGAGTGAATTTAACTGATAACTTATTGTTTTTAAGAGAAAATAGCAGCTTATACACATCTTAGTGATGTGCAAATATGAAAGGATTCATATTGGCCAGTCAGGGATGCCACTTTACATAAAATTATTCAGTAACATTGTGCTCAAATTTGCGAACTTTTAACGTGGTGATCGAGATTCTGATTCCACAAAATCTATATCATATATGAACATCGGTTTTTTTGCAGCATATCCTTGTTAGTTAATTTAAACATGTAGTATTTAATAATGATGATTAATTCTAGTTAAGAAATTGAGAGCTATATTATGCTGACAAAGATCTGGACAGGTCTAACTAAAAATATAAGATGTCCATACCTGCCTTGGGAAGAGCTTAGCTTTGAATACTGGAAGTAAGGTATTTGAAGCTCAGTTTGCTTGACTTCCAGACAGTATCCTTAATTGTTAGATCTAAATTCCAGATTTCATTTTCTAGGTATTCATATGACCCATTCCAGCAGTCACCTAATGAAAATCCAGAGGCTGAACTGGCCATAAATGCAGGTGACTACCTCCTTGTCTGGGGCAACATGGATGAGGTAAACTAGTGTGTGTTTCATTCATTTTCATTTACAATCTTACAGTTATTGTAATTGCCATGAAATAGGAAGTTATTTGCAGTGTGTATGACATGTATTGAACAAGGTTTGCAGTTTTGTGAAGCCCCAGGTTCAAATCTTGGACCACGGACTCGCTATTCTCTCTGAGGTTTTTGTGGTTTTCCTCATTCCATCCAGGAAAATTTTGGGTTAATACTTTAAATTATGGATGACTGTTTGCTTTCACATCCTTTCCAATTCATTATTCACTGATCATCCTATCATTCGACACAGTGTAGTCTGAAATATTGTGTTATTAAGTACATAGCAAGAAAAATAAATAATATGTATTGAACTTCAAGTAGGGAGGAATGGGGTAGGGCATCATCCAGTTCTTTGTTCAGTAAACACAAAATCGTTCATGTTCCTCTTTTTCTGTAATATTTATTTTGGCTCATAGAGAATGATTAATTAGAGGTTATTTGCAGAGCACTCCTCTTCTTCACGCGTCACTTACATCAGTCACATATATTGTAGCCAATATTTACTAGATAATCAGAATTTAGTCATGAAAGCAGTATCTCAGTTTTACAGGTGCAAATGCATTTAGACCCCTATGTAGGATTTTGGGGGGGGGGATTAGTGGATTTGAGCATTAAATTGAGAAAGATATTGGACTGAGGTAATTTAAACGCTGAGACTATTGACTTGGGATTGTTGAAATTTAACATAATTGCAGGAAAGTCTGAAATGGAGGAACATTAAATGTGGATCCCACTAAGGATGTGTGTACATATATTTAATTTTTTTGCCTGTTTAAGAAACTGTTTATATCTAAGTTATCAACTTCTTTCACTTTACTGAACCATAATTTATGTAAGACTGGAGACAAATCATATGAGCAACATCATGTTACATATTCTTTACCAAACGTTAGAGTCATTAAGTCAAGAAGGTTTGAATGAATGTGACATTAAATGCTTATTGGAAACAAAAATTTCTTAAAAAATTGTGGTCAATAACCTCATGTGAAAGGCCTTATTAGTAGACTAGGCATAAAGTCTATGATGACCGTGTAACTGTGGATATAGCAGTATGCATATGAATGGGAGGATATGAAGAGTGAACTAATTTATTTTTTAAAATACGTTGTTGATTGTAATCCAGTATGTTCCTTTTTCTGTTCTTCTCTTTTTCATGAAGGATGGTTTCTTTGATGGCGAACTTTTAGATGGAAGACGTGGTTTGGTGCCATCTAATTTTATACAAAAATTAGTTGGCGAAGACTTACTTGAGTTTCATCAAGCAGTAGTACAGGGCCTTCGAGATGGTGATGACAGCGGATCCACCAATATAGCTCATGATCTAGCCCAAGAAGCTCTTGCCTTGATGGGTTAGTTGCAAAGATATTACTACACTTTTGACAGTACAACAAGTTTCTATATCTTGGCCATATATTTCTCCTTTACTAAACTAACATTGACTAACTACCTATAAGTATTTTACATGTTTAGTTTAAAACACACACTGTATGGGACATTGTTGAAAACTGGATCTGTCAGAGATGCCCAGCAGATGAAGGATTGTATGTACAATATCCCTTGTGACTGTGGCAGATGTTAAATCGGTGAAAGAAGCAGACCTTTAGAAGTATGCATTAAAGAGCACAAATATAACCTGACCCAAGGTCTGCTTGAAAAATCAAAATTAGGCCAACATATGTACGAATGCCACAGAATATTGGAAAGAAGTGAAGGTCTTGCAGATTGGACCAAATGCCACCTGCAAGAAATTCAAGGAATCTGCCCACATGTCTTATTAAATAGAGTTGGGAACCCATAAAAATGGATAATCAGTTTTTTTACACCTTCAGGTTCATATTTACAATGTAGTTAGTACATTTAACTTAGGACTGGACTGGTGACAATGTCACTTTACAAGAAAAACATGTTTTCTGACTACTGAATAAGGGTTTTCGCCA